CACAAGGGCTCACCAAAATTGAACTACAGAAGATGCTACAACCTACCTAAATATTGCTGCTGACCAGTTATATCCCTTTATCTTCTTAGCCATCTTCTGATGGTTAATTCCAGCAACATAACCATGACACAAATTCATGACATGGATGTGGAGTCAATAACTCTGCAGGAACTTTGTGCTGCTGTCAGTCATGGACCAATTGCTGAATTTATGCCACAAATAATTAAAACAGTTCTGAAGGTAAAAGAGTGGCCAATGGAGTGTTTTTTTTAAATAGATATTTTTTTCTTTTCTCGTTCCTTTCTTTCCTTTCTTAATATAATACTTAGCTTGTTGATGATTATTAACGAATATATAAGTACAAAATCACAAAATTTACAGTAGGGAAGGATCATGTATGTATGCATGCAAGATCATGCATATCACTAAAACCCCTGTGGTGCTCTTAACATGTAATTTGAAGTCTTTTTGGCTCAGTGGTTTTCACAGCAGCACATGGATTAAGAGCATACTGTAGCTCTTGCTATGCGAGGTGGAGGATCAGCCTCACAAAAAAATATGTACAAGTTAAATCAGCTTTGTAAAAACGATTACCACACCAAATGAAATGTATTCCAATATACAATACAGTAATTCCCAAGACTCCCAGTTCTCAAGATGAGAACAAAAATCACACAAAAAGTCATGCTCCTACTTGCTCACACAAAATCCCAAAATGTATCATGTGAAAACAAATGGAATTTGTTCCTAGAAAGTTTATCTGAGACCAGCTGAAAAAAGGCCTAATCTCGCTTCTTGGACATTGCTTCAAAGAATTGATTTAAGATTCAAAGATGCTATCACAAGCTATCACAGCAAGGAAAGAAAATGAGAAAAAAAATCTCTGACTCAGTGCTTTGAAAAAAAGAAAAAACCTTAACTAAAAAGGTCTTTGAAGATAAAACCATCATTTCTAGAGACAAATTACATAATGTTGTTCAGTGTTTTTTGAATGTTTTGATGTTTTGGGTGGGTATTCAGATTCATGTTTTGCATAAAACACTGTAAAAGGCAATAATTATTACAAATAATCAATAATAGAATAATGATTCTCTATAGAAAAAAAACAAACATTCAGTATTATTCAAAAGTCTTGAACCACACATCAGTTTAATTGAAGTGGTCTTTGTCAATAGTCCTTCATCCTTTTTGAAGGTCTTTCAAAGTTTTTCTTTGGACAAGTCCTTGTAGCTGACCATTTTTTGAAGAACGTATCTGTTGTTTGTTAAGCCACTTAACACTGACCTACGAACCCATGAACCCATTCAAGCAAAAAAGACACTTCAAGCTTTAGACACTTTGTTACTAGCAGCCTAGTAAGAAAGTCACATTAAGACCAAAGACAACATAATATTGAATACATGAATCAGTACTTTTACACTAACAAGGTAAATTCCTAGAGCTATCAGCTGAAAACTTGGTAAACGTATCTTTGCATGATATGCACTGAACCTTCAAAAAAATCTGAGGAAACTGGTCAAAGGAAGATGCGGGAAGCTTAAAAACTGATCTACAGCAGACGTTCAGTATCTAAAAGTCATGTGCTTAAGAAATACGGAAAAATGCTTCAAAGACTTGACACAGGACATGAGAGATGTATCTGGCCCTTCAGTTGGTCCATGTACTGTTCATTGAAGCCTAATCAGACGTTGTCTCAGTGAAAGAGTGGCTGACAAGAAGCCATTCATAAGGAAGAAAAACAGGGAGGAAAGGCTGAGATTTGCCAGATCACATAAGAACTGGACAGAAAATCAATGGCAACTAATCTTATAGAGTGATGAATCATTGTCAATATGCATAAAGGAGGATAAATGAGAAGTATAGCAGTGAGTGTCTACAGCCATTTATGAAACAGGATGAAGACTCTCTCAAGATTTGGGACTGTGTTTTGGTTAGTGGTGTTGGGGACCTTGTCAAATATAAATTATGACCCCAAAAACCATTGGGTTTTGATCCAGCATGCAATACCATCTATTGGGAGCAGCTTAATTTTTCAGCGTGACAATGATCCCAAGAAAGCCACCAATGCAATAAAGGCATACCTGGATAGAAAAACACACAATTAACCACTATCAGTCATGGATTGGCCTCCCGCAGAGCCTGGCCCTCAACATAACTAAAGCAGCGTAGGACCATTTTGACAGAGAACAGAACAAAAGGCAGACAACATCCAAAGAAGGGATTTAAATGTCCTTCAAGAAATCTGGAGAACTCTTTCTGAAGACTACATAAAGTCAGACTGTTGAGGGATAAAGGTGATTACATCAAATATTGTCTTTGACAGTAGAATCTTCAAAACTCAGTTTTTGTCAAATGTACTGTATTACCATGTATCCCTGCTCACGCATCTTAATCAACTGATGTTCCTATTTCCCATTTTTCTAGGAAAATATAGTCATAAGAGCCTTAAGTAATGGCTCAAGAATATTGCCCTGCACTGTATATCAGAATTTAAACTCTCTAAAGATACATTATGTTTGAGGAGGCGTAACTTTCTTGCCACTAGAAAAAAAACTTTTAATGATGTTGTTCGCAATTACCTGTGGCAATTTGTTTTGTAGCTTTAGAGTCTATCACTTTCTTTCACTTCACAATCATTACAGTGTGATTGCAGGCTCACTCTATAACCCTTTAAACATAAATAACTTTCTGGAAGAAGGCACATGGAACAATGTTCTTCTCTCTGATTTACTCCTCCATTTAAAGTCTCCCAAAGGAATTGAAGACAATGACCTCCATCTACCTGTGGTCAAGAAAAGTCTAGTAGCGATTTGTTCCCTAAAGATCTCAAAGCCTCCCAGCCTTGATAACAGATCTTCAGAAAAAAAATCCAGCTGGCAGAGACTGGAACTTGGAATTAAAAAGGATTGAGGATGGGATATTATGGTATATTAACTACAAGCACATAATTTATCACCATTTTGATGACCGCCTTTGGTGTTGCATGAAAATTCTGGCTCAGTATAGCGAGTGACCCACAACTTCAATCAGTATCTCTTCATTGCATTTGTACTCTGTCCAACACTTCCCTGAAGTGTTATAATCAGACAGGCTGCATAGTCAAATGTGCCATCAAACAACTCAGAGTTTGAATATGTGATGATGGCTTGGATCAGCTTAAATGGTGAAATGTCAGGGATCTTTAGCTGGAAGATTTGTAGAAGGAAAAGCGCCTGTAATGTTAAACATCAATTTTCTACATCTCACTAGGGACTTGAGAATAACCTTAGTTTTGGGGCTGACTTCGAGGTCAATGAAAAGCTCTTCAGCACGTAACATTGTGCAGTATGATCTTTTAGTCGGTTACGGCTGATGGTGTTCAAGACATATGTGTTCTGCCCCCCCAAACAACTCTGTTAAGCTGTGTCGGCTTATTCTGTGTTAACCACATTGCAGGATCAGAATTTAATAATTCACACTCTCAAGTGACTTCATTCAGTCGGTCAAAAAATAATAACACAGTTGTGGTGACAGAACTGAGGCATGGGAAAGGCAAGTGCTTCCTGCTAAGCTATACTGTTCTAACATTTGTTTGACTAAATACACTCTGTTATCAAGTATACTCACTATTCAATCTGACAGCCTTGCAAATAAAACACAATTTTCAAGAAGGTGTTAATGTTCAGTGTTTGCTGAATTTAAGCAATGTTGGACAGATTGATACAAGTTTGGAGGAAGCATATTGCAGTGCTATGGAGCTTTGACCTATTATACAGACAGCTGCTTCCCTTGTGAAATAGAAACATTAAGATTAGAAACATTTATGTAGAAAAAGTAATTACGTTTTTTAAGGGTAGAGATTCTAAATTTGGTAGACTAATTCTTCTCAGTTTCCATACTCATACCTTCCAGGGTGGATAGCTGCCCTGCCATTTTTACCTGAAATTGCTCTGTCACTCAAAAAGCTTCATAAAATCATCTACAGCACTGATCAAACAAGTCTCATGCTGCCTTTAGGGAGGTTTAGCCTAGGGTCTCTTTCTCAAGAAAGCCTCCATCCCCACACAGAGTCAAGCTGTCATGTCAGTGCACTAAGGTAGTAAAAATCTTAAGTCATCCTACATACTGTAGCCTGACTATAGGAAAAGCATGGAATCACCAGCTCTACAACTGCATAACTATGAACCCCATAATTACACAATACCAGCTGCAATGACTCAAGCATGTCAACAGGATGCCTGTAGGATTCGCTGCCTTGTAAGATCCTGCATGGCTAGATTACAGCGTGTGCACTGGCCATCAGGAAGGCAAAAGTGACAGTTCAAAGCTCAGCTCAAGGGCTCACTATGGATGTGGACCTGATGGACACTGCTGACTGTAAAAAAAACTGAAAGCAGAGCTGAAGAAGAGGAAAAGTGACAGCAAAAATGACACAGACCAAATGCACTCAAAGCTACTCTCACCACAACCTGAGTTTCTCAGATTGCACTGCACAGCCATCAAAAAGCTTGCACTTAGAGACAAGTTGTTCTGAGATTCACTGGACTGCCAAAACAAAGATTTTGTGCTTGCACGCGCTTGCGTGTGTGTCTGGGTATGTTTATGTGAGGGAGTGGGAGAGACAGCGAGAGGGAGACAAAAATGGATCATTTCTAACCTTTAACTGGACCTTTATAAATCTTTCACCACACACAGGTCGCATCAAGAGTTTTCTTATTATAGCAGCAACTAATGAACTAAATGATAAGCTAAGCCATAGATAAAACACAAACAAACAAACAAACGTGTATTTTTTTCTAATATATATTAATATCTTAATACTTTGCATTGAATTAAAAGCAATCACATTGCATTTCTCAGTTATAGCACTGTTTATGCTTTGTTAAGACTACTTGCTCGCACTATGTCTGCATTATGTTACAAACTGCACTCTTTTCATGAACAATAGACAATTAAATAGCTGGACCTGAATATTAACTATGCACGAGGTGAAACAGAATGCACTAATTGAAAATTCTTACCTCCTCAGCATAGGCATCACAAAGTTTGTTCCCCGAGAGCAGCTTGTTTTTCAAGCTCTTGTTCTGAAAAAAAGAAAACACAAAAGAGGTAATCACATTTGCATCTGCCCTGTAGCCTGCACTGCATGTTGCTTTAGCATTTTTGGTGCTGTATAAAAAGCACTATTGACTCAGTGGGCATCAGTTTCTCCAGCTGGGCAATTGACTATATAGGAGCCCTCGCAGCAAGTGCTTGGTTGCCTCTTGATTTCAGACTTAAAAGCAGTCAGGAGTGGCCTGTCTGACGATCTGAGAGCGCACTCTGGCTCGCAGGCCTCTTAAAGGTCAAAAACGTAGCTCAGGGCAAGACCCCCACTGAACTTTAAGCATGATCAGTAAAGTCTTAAAATCATTTGAATGGTAGTGGGTGGAGAGATGCTAAAGTTTGGGTCATGAGCTGTTGGCGCCAGTTAACATCTAAATCTGGAGACAAGTGAATGATTCTGTCCAAACACACAACACCTGTAACATCAACTTAGGTTTGATGTATTAAAACCAAATCTATAGATTATTAACAAACGTACATTCAATTAAATGTAAATTTAAAGAAAAGAAAAGAAAAAAACATGACGCTTAATTGGACAACTTCTGCAAAGTGCAAGGGCAGCAGAAATTATGCAATATGCTTTGTCTTGTCTTGCAAATTCAATTTCTTCATTTACAAAACATGGTTGAATCCAAATAGCAATTAAAAAACATTTATAGTAAAACCCATAAGGTTTGTGGTTTGCTGTACCCAAGAGCTTTTTCTGTGAACTGAATCTGAATAAAACTATAGATGTATTTATGTATACACTATACTTCTATAGGTGTTCTGGGAATTTTTTTACAACATACTTGAGCAAGGAGATTTCAAGAGAATCAGATTCTTTATACAGAAACATTTATTGCAGCCAGCTTTGAAATAAGGAGAACAAAACGATGACTTTTGTTGAGAGTGTTGTCATCCAGTGCCGATGCCGGCTTTTTTTTCTCTCAGAGGGCGTATTCATACTGATCATACACATTTATAAAGTCTTCATGCCTGATCATATATTCAAACAAGGTTAACACAGCTCCTTTGCCGTAAGTATTGAGGAGGAGTAGGAATGCTATGTATGCAGAGCCTGTCTATTCTCCCAAAATTATAAAATTAGAGGAGAGAGTCTCCACTCAAGCCTTAGGGCCTTAATCATTATATTCTTTCGAGAAATTCCACTCTCAATGACCTTTGAGACCTTTCCGAATGGAGAGTTTCACTTTAGTCAGAAAAATCCTTACAATATGTTTAAAAGGAAGTCTGCACTGACACAGTCAGGGGAGATGTAAAGACAGACGGGAATATGGCTGGAAAGCAATAACAGCATTTGATAAGAAGGGAATTTCTCTTTTTTAATTGGCACTGATCTGGTAATAAGATCGGTCCTAAACCAGCTTAATGCTTAACCCAAAGTAACCATCAAGTTTTCCAGATGACCCAGTCGTCCAGCATCTGCAGATAGGAGAAAGTTTAGACTGTCTCTAATGTGATTAAAAACCAGACTGTCTGCAAAATGTACTGCGAAAAGCTACTTGGTAAACCCAGTATATTTATAAGAGTTATATTTATAAGTGTACAAGCAATTGGTTTGTAGAAAGGAAAGACTCCAGCTTCAGCTTGTTTTGGGGATTTATTTTCCAGTGGTTACATTTTTACCATTAACTTCTGTGCAATAATGCAGCATTTAAATAACTAGCTAAAAGAGAGAATAGTCAAGTGAGCGGACCACAAAGCCTTGAAATACTCAGATGTCACCTCATTGAGTTGACCACGAACTCCATCAATTGATCACATGAATGTGAGGACATGTATTTGACAGCTAAAGCTTGGCCTAGAGTGGGTCATGCAACAGAACAAAGATCCTAATCACAGCAGCAAATCGACAACAGAATGGGTGAAAAAAAAGAATCAAAGTGTTGCAATGACCCAGTCAAAGTAAGACCTTGACATGTAAATGAAATGTTGTGGCAAGAAGAAGAGTCGTCCAAATTTCTTCCACAATAATGAGACAGAATAATGAAGTTGTACAAATAATGATTACTTAAAGTTATCGCTAACTACTGATAAATTAAGTTATTGCTGCTAAGGATGGTTCTGTAAGGTACTGAATCATGGAGTGTACTTAGCTTTTCACAGGACTGCATTGCCCTTTTATATAAAATGATATATACTTTATTCATTTCAAAGGTTAGAGCAGCCAAGCTAACACAGCTTAAAAGAATAAATACTATATTAGAAATGTAAATAAATACACAAAATAAGGAGCACAATAAATTAAGACATAAGAAAAAGTGTAAAAATAAGTGAATATGGATATTTTTGAATGACACAGGTAAGACTGTCTGTATCAGTCCTTGTTGGAAGGAAGACAAAAAAGGATGTTAGACTGTCCAGATCCATTTCTGATCCAGTGCCACTCATAACATTCACTTGACCTCTGCATCAGTTGACTGAGTAATCCATACAGTGCGCCGATCCAAACTGAATTAAAAGGGAATCCAAACAGCAAAAAGAACGACGGAAGAAAATTTCTTCTGCAAGTACGGACACATTTAGCAGCTAGCAGCCCACTACACGGCCACGGCACCCTTATTCTGACATGCCTGGGATTACACCACTTTTCAGTCACATCTATCACAACCACATTTCTTCTTACCTCTCAGATTAACGTCCCTGTTTGCAATCCCTGTCCTGAAGCTATACAGTCACACTGTGGTTTTGGAAAGTGAGTCTCGATGAAACACATCAAAATAGGCTCACTGTGTTCCCTCTGGACTCAGAACTGCCAGCACGATCAGCTGGTGAAAATTCAAGAGTATAATACAAACAAGCCAAAAAACAAAAAAACAAAAACAAAACATGGGTAGACATGCTAAAATTGGAAAGACTTGCAAACCAAAAAATAACCATGACCTCCATGAAAAAATGACTTTACCCCGAGATAATCATTAAAATGAACCATAATGGAAATTACTGTGAAAGGCTGTAACTTACCACAGTGCCAGGAATAAAAGCAAAAATATATATAACATTGTAAAACATAGTTATAGAAGTGTGTGGTTATTTTTTCTCATTTCTTTAGTACCAACAGAGCTGTGGGCATTGTTTTGTTGATCTCACTGCAGCACCATAAAATGTTGAAAAGTGTCGAGAGTCGAGTAAATGTATCGTTCTAATGAGAACATCATTGTGGAATTTGTTTGGATGGAAACTTCTATATAACACCGACTGGGGATGTTAACCAGCAGTCAGATTTGCAAGTAAGTAAGTTATGGGTTTAAATAGTGACCTTTGGGGTAAACATACGTATGTATTATAACCATTTAGTGTCCGGTGCCCATATAGAAACACACAGAGCTGTCAGCATGTAGATTCTGAATATTGCTTCTACCTGAAGAAATATCAGTGTCAAATTAGTCTAATGTCAGCCCCAAGCAGAAATTGCCCTTTGACATTACATATAATTATGTGAATGCATCTATTGTCATGAAGTTCAGTTCCTGCAGGTGGGACACATGTATCACCAATAAAACTTTAATCTGCAACTTAAAGCTTTAAAGTCTGAACCATAAACTTGCCCAAAAATTCAAACTGCTTTTAGAACCTTCTGACAAAAATGTTGTGACATCCAAGTATTTTAATTTTTTTTAAAATGTATTTCTTGAAAATGTGTCATGTCATGCATCAACTATGATATGCTAGGCCTTAAATATTACTAAAAATCACAGATGCAGGGCATCAATAATTATCTGGCCCAATATTTTCACAGTCAAACTACAGATCACTGTGTACCTCACTTTTTTTTTTTTTTTTTTTACATAAATAATATTGGATAAAATAATTCCCTAACATGGTGCTGTATTCAGTTTGAAATTGAACATGCAGTACATTCTGGACTTTCCTTTTATTTATTTTTTATTTATTTTTAACACCCACACCTGCACAATGTACTACACACTCCAGTGCAGACATAAGATGCACTCTTAGCTGAGGTAATGAGTTGTTTTGTGACTCGGTGAAGCAAAGCTGACCGAATATCATTTCCACACAGTGGCACCTCCTTTCACCACTACAGAAGGACCACCTTTTGAGGACATGTAGAACTGGCAGCCATTATAAAATGTGACGTAGTTAAGCCCCAGGACACACTCAGAGAGAAAATAAGATTCTCTGGAGCTTATACTGTATGTCACAGTGCATTAGACGAAATGAAATGCACCATGCTGCACATGGCATAACGTGTTATTCCCGCAGTATTGTCAATCTGCAGGCCTAAAAATAAAGTCAGTTTTTTTTTACATGTTCATGTTGTTAATATTTTAATTTAGAAAAATGCAACAGCATCCGAATAAGTGTATTGCTCCTTGACTAAACGAGCACATTATCTTTCAGAATTTGCTGTCAAGTTTAGTGCTTTATTATTGCAAATAATTGTATAGTCAGTGATAAAATGCAATGCATACAGTAGTATAGGCTATCACAGCAACCTAAAGGACTTTAGCACACAAACACACACATAAAATAAATTCCCATTATTCAAGTCAAAGTTATTTTCGCACATTATAAAGTGCTGATATGCTCACGGGCACTAAGTGCTGATATTTACTGTCCATCTAGGTCAACTTTCATACTACTCAACAGCCATCAGTGCAGCATCCTTTTAGCCTCAGTGCGAAGCACCAGAAACCAAGTCTTCCGGAAACACATTTTGTATTTCATCTCAGTCGAGTTGTTCCCAAATTTACACTATGGAGTGTGAATGCAGTGTGCATAATAAACTGGCATATTTCATATTTATGTATCAAACACTCCCAAGCGGTGCATTCCACCCAGCCCTGCAAAGTTTAAATAAACTAGGAAAAGTGCATTGCATTTAGGGCTGACATTTTTATTTCAAACTGGCCGTGGCGTGCACATTGCTTGACACCACTTACAAGTGCGGCGCTGTTGTCATAACACATTTCAGCTTAAAAGGTCAATAAGATTCATTGTTAATGGCAAAAAC